ATGGCCAAATGAAAATTTATCCCATATTAATTGGACACACAAAAGAGACCCATATATACCTAACTACAAAGAATAATACACCAAAGTACGCAAACAATAACGAAAAACCTCGGTATAAAACACATTATTTTGAAAATTGTTGTGAAAATAATATAAAAAATAACCTTGACACAACTAAATGAAAATTTCTCCCATATTAATTGGACACACAAAAGAGACCCATATATACCTATCTACAATGAATAATACACCAAAGTGCACAAGCAGTAACGAGAGAAACCTCGGCATAAAACACATTATTTTAAAAATACAAATACAATGCTACAAATAATATGAGCGACGAAAGGCATCAATATATATCGTAAAATTAGAAAAAAAAATAATAGAATCTTCATTTGCAATTGTTCAACTGAGCAAACTTCGCAGCTGTTGCTTTAAACGCGCTCGCGATTAGCCAGAAATGTCAAAAATCGTGTGCAAAAGAATAACATTATTAAAGAATAATATAATAACAATAATTATTGCAAAACGACTAGAATTTGTCCTGTGTGCTTCGGTAGAGAGAAACCACGCATTCGCCTGGTAGCTACAACGTAATGGGAGTAATTCAGCGATCGAGGGACAGCGAATTTGACTCTCGAAGACATCGCCGATGGGACACGCGGGTGCAAAGATACGTTAAAAGGACGGCTGCTCCCCGGAGTGACCGTCGTAATTCGACGCTGGACGAGGTCCGCTATCTGTCGCACGCGACGATCACGTGGCAGCGGTCTCTGGATCGAATCCAAACGAGTCCCGTGCTCGGATCGGCAGAAGCGAGACACCGAGCGGGAGTAATCTGAGCGCGGGTTTAAGCGACTCGGTTCTATGATCCGCGCGGGCCACTGTCTATCCGGTTAGGTTAATTCTGGCATTGTCGATAACTCCGCGCGGGACCGACGTCGGGAACAAAGGGCGGTTCAGGATGAAGGAGGTCCGGCGTTCGGGAGACGTGGATAGAGTCGATGGCGGGAAATGAAGAGAAGTATGCGTTAATTAGGGTCGGCGCTGGCAATTTGTGGATTTGCGGCGAGCCCCGGTGCATACCGGCGTTGGCTGCCGTCGAGTATGGTTGCTGCGCGGCTCTGCGCCCCTTGTTGTTCGTCTACGGTTAACCCCCTCGTTTGCCGGCAGCCTCGTTCTCGTCGCGTTTAGGCTTACCTGCGACTTTTTGCTCGATTAATTGCGAGAATAGTTATTCGAGGCTTGCCGGCGCGAGCCACGCGCAACGGCAACGTTTTTCCAACGTTTCTGCATCGTTGCCGTTCGCTTTGTCAGCAGTGAAAAACGCGCTATTACGATGTACACAGGGTGTATAAAAAGTATATGTCGCGACCATAGCGGTGAAATTGTTTTTTTATTGCAGCGTATAGTGCTCGCCGAGAGAAACAAAAGTCTGAAAGGGATCATCGGTCCGAAGATAACACTATATGTAAAAAACGATGTTGAAAACGACGTACAAAAATTATATAGGGTGTCCCCAAGATCGCGGTGCAACAGGCCGCGATGTGCAAAAATAAATTGAAAAGAAGAACAATAATGTTTTCATTTAATGCTTTAACTACACTAAGGGATCATATCTTTTTCATATATCCTATACATTGCTCGTAGTATCTGTCTATTTTTGATCCAGCAGGCGAACGATAACGAAATCTTGTCAGAACTTTCCTATTTATCGGGACTTTCCTATTTAACAGACCGGGAAGTGATTTTGTGTGCAAAAATAAGTCGAAAAGAAGAATAATAATGTTTTCATTTAACGCTAGAACTACGTCAAGGGATCATATCTTTTTCATATACCCTATACATTGCTCGTAGTATCTGTCTATTTTTGATCCAGTAGGCGAACGATAACGAGATCTTGTCAGAACTTTCCTATTTTTCGGGACTTTCCTATTTAACAGGCCGAGAAGTGAGTTTATGTGCAAAAATAAGTCGAAAAGAGGAATAATAATGTTTTCATTTAACGCTAGAACTACGCCAAGGGATCATATTTTTTTCATATACCCTGTATATTGCTCGTAGTATCTGTCTATTTTTGATCCAGCAGGCGAAACATTTCCAGAACGGGACTTTATTCTTATTTATCGGGACTTAACTCTTTGAAGCGCACGATTTTAAGGAACAAATGAAAAACCAAGTTGCACAGAATATACCATTGTGAAAAACAAACATTCACAGCAACACACGATTCGACAACCTTAATCATCGAGAGCGTCGATCAGCTTACTAATGAGTTTTGACTCGCGTAAATTTTTGTTGTCAGTTGTTCATGCAATTACACCGTTGGCGCGTAGCATTGCCAACTGAACGAAACACTCTCGATAAAACATTGAACTGCGCGACTATGAGTAAATTCAACTTTTTCGAGGTGGGTTAACCCTTTGCCCTCGAGTGGCGGCTCTCGGGCAACGTCAGAAATTGCTGCACTATTTTCGAAAGAATTTTCGCGTTATTAAATTAACACTTAGCCAACCGAATGGAGAGATCTCCCCTTTTTAAATACAGTCGATCGATGACCGAATGGACGATTACTGAAAAATTAAAAATGATTGCTTAATTTTATTAAGATTTGCAAAAAGTACGAATGCCGATGAAGTAATTCATGCCATATAAATTTGTTTCGCAACTTTTGTTTAATTGAATGAAATACTTTAATTTTATGAGAATTTTTGAGGTTTCCAGCGCGATCGTGGAAGCGTTAAATAATAATTATAATAAAAATACAATATAATAAAAAACAATCATACCAATTGGATACACTATAAGGTAGAAAACAAACGACTCGAGTTTTGAGTTAAAACAGTCTCGAGTAGCAAAGGGTTAAACCATGTCCCACCATGCGTAAAAAGCTGCGCAAAAGGTGCGACAGTTTTCAAGCCGCCCGACTCCAAAGAGTTAAACGCCGAAAGCCTCGAATAGCATTTGCCATAACAGCGTCGACGAGTCTTCTACTCGATCGGCTCCCGATGCGCATCGGGCTCGTCGCAGACAACGCAATTTCAATCAGAAAATTATTCCGCGATTTACCGACCTGAGGGCATCCTCGCTTTTTTTCGCCGGCATTTATTCGCTCGAAAGCGCGAACCAATTTTTAAACAATTTCCGGCCATTTCTGTTTGATCGTCGGGGGAAATTGATGTCATTCGGGGAGATATATTGCGAAGCTCGGTTTTCGAAATATTCGCATCCATCGCGGTGGCCGGGCGTTACACGGTGTGCACGATATTCAAACAGCAAGGTAAAACGTTCTCGACTCTCGTTTAATCACAGTTAAGCAAACGCGGGCTGAAATAAAAATTGTACGCGCCGCTAATACGGAGCGTCGCGGGTATTCCGACGGAGGGGAGGAAGAACGCCGTTTCTCTGACGGCGATCGCGAACCCCGCGAAAAATCCGGCAACGGAATAATCCGTCGTTGAACAAGGAAGCGGTTGTATCGCGTTCTCATCAGCCGGAGATCGTGCAATTCGACTTCAGCCGGGACGCGATTGCAGTGCGCTTTCCTAATCCGAGGTTCGGCCGGGCTCCGGACAAAGTTTCCCGGCGAGTTCTGTTTATTCCGGTCGAATTAAACTGCGGACAGGGCACGGTTATTTTCCGCGGCGCGAGTTATCCGGGTACGGTATTTACATTTGATCAATTCCGGGCGAACGAGAGGACACAGGCAGAAAGAGAGAGACGGGAGGCGAATGAGAGAGAGAGAGAGAGAGAGAGAGAGAGAGAGGGAGTTCTCCGGGGTTCTGGAGCGACGTAGCGCGACGCGGCGTGGGTGGCTCGCGTTAGAAAGAAAGTTGGAGAGCGCCGAGCCGGCGTTGGCGGAAAGTTTTTCGACGTGGGGGCTGCTTGATAGTCGTCGTTCGGCACACCGATGAACCCGGGCCCGGGTCGCACGAGTCGGAAAATTGTTCCGAAGCAACTCTATTTGCCGGGAACCGGGCAGAGATGGCGCGATTATGTTAAACGACCAACCGTTAGCGTAGCCCAGGCAACTTCCAGTTTCGTTTCTCTCGCGAACTGTCGCGCAGATTTTCCTGATCGATGCGCGACTCGGGCCCGGCTCTTCGGGACCGCTGTTACGCGATTCGTTCTATAGATAATCGGCGGACTCGTCGGATTTTTACGAGCATTCGAACGCGGCCAAATTGCCTAAATTGCTTTTGAAACGGACTAATTCTTTTTTTTTTGTTTTCGGTTGGATCAAATGCTCCGAGTATGTAATTTCATTTCATTTAATTCAATTTATTTATGTACTTGGGCAAACACCCATTTTTACAGTGAAGCACGAAAACGTGTAATATTAATGTAGAGAGAGAATCAGCTGTTTAGGTGAATAGTTTATTTAGCAGTAACTGTTTAGGCGAACTCGTTTTGAATTTTGTAATATTGCCTGCAGATATTTTATCGCTGATCTCGTTGATAATATTGTTGAGATGTTTTTGGAAAATTGCAATTACAATAAATTCGACCTATTTGATCCTCAGCTTGGAAATAAAAATGGGCAATTTGGGAAGAGAAGGTACGATTATAATAATAATATAATTGTAGTAATAATGTATATAATTATTAATTTAAATTTGTATAATTATTAATATATATAATCATTGTATAATAATAACAATATAATTGTTGATATAATAAATAACCTGTACAATTGGGGAAGAGGAGCCTCGAGTAATCGCATCTCCTCTTCCCAAATTGTCCACTTTTGTGTACAAGCTGAGAGTCAATTACGGAGAATTTACTATGTCTGGAATCATAAAAAAATGTGAAACGATTTCAAACTCTTTTATTCGAGCCTAGAACGGTTGACGCAGAGTCAAGCTGCAGGCACCAAAAGATGCAGAAATCTCCCGATTTCTTGCCAAAACTGAAGAAAACCGTGGAAAACAGAGATTTTCGGAACATTTTTTAGTCGCGACGACGACAGAAAATTTCACGACGTTTAGTCGAATTTTAGAAAACTTGCTCTCTTTTGAAAGAATTATTTTTTAAAAGATGGCACACGCCGCGACAGAAATGTTTAAACAATCCGAACAAACTACTTAAACACCGGAGTTTACGCATTTGAACCGAATGATCGATCTGCGCGTTTCCCGCGGATCGGTTCGGCCTTCACGGCGGTCTGAAAAACTGATCACGGTACGCGAGGCTCGTGTACGCTTTGATCGATCGGATCGGATCGCGGGTGGCAGGAGGACAACGTTTCGGGCGTCTAACCAAAGTTAATTGATGTTAAAGTCTCGCCGATGATCTTGGTACCGAATCAGCTGGTGGGCGCGCCAGTTGGCACCAACGTGACCCTCGTCTGCCAGACCGAGGCTTATCCACGGGCGATGAACAACTGGCACCTAGAGCGTGAGATGATACTCTCGAACAACAAGTACACGACGAAGATCATGGAGAACAGTTACAGGGCGACCATGGAGCTCACCATCAGCAACCTGCAGCTCGGCGACTTCGGGAGCTATCGTTGCGTCAGCAAGAACTCGCTGGGCGACACCGAGGGCACGATTAGGTTGTACGGTAATATGATGAACGATTCCAGCCACGGTTCACCGGTTTCCCAGCAGTTGTCGTAGGCACGCCTACGCGATGCTCCAACTATTCCCGGATATTCTCTTTCTATTTGATCGACCCTCCGATGTTTCACTTGATTGCTTCAAAATGTCGCGTGTTTCTTTTCTCTCCGGAAAAGTGATATCGTTACGAGAAAAAATGAAACGAATCAATTCGGTACGCTTGGAAATCAGATATCAAATTTGCTGAATTGTTTCCCGTGAAAAATTCCACAGGACTTTAACAATTTCAAAGTATAGAATGACACGAGAAACCAGAGTTGGGCATTATTCGAATTGTTTCGAGTTTCCTTTCGGTCTCATATTTTATTCGTCATAAATTATTTTACACATTTTATTCGTACGATTCTTTATTCGAATAATTCTTTGTTCTAATAATTCTATCATTTTATCATTCTATCATTTTTATACTCTATTGTCTTTATTCAAATCGATTTATTTTCTGTACATATTTCTCTATGTATTAATTCTTATTCAGATAACATTTTACTCGGACACATTTTTGTCTAGATAAATTTCTATTCTATCGAATATTTATTCGTCATAGATTATTTTACACATTTATTTGTACGATTCTTTATTTTTTAATTCTATCATTTTATCATTCTACCATTTTTATACTCTATTATCTTGATTCAAATTGATTATTTTCCGTATAAATTCCTCTAAGAATTAATTTTTACTCGAGTAACATTTTACTCGGACACATTTTTGTCTAGACAAATTTCTACTCTATCGAATATTTATTCGTCATAAATTATTTTACACATTTATTTGTACGATTCTTTATTTTTTAATTCTGTCATTTTATCATTCTACCATTTTTATACTCTATTATCTTGATTCAAATTGATTATTTTCCGTATAAATTCCTCTAAGAATTAATTTTTACTCGAGTAACATTTTACTCGGACACATTTTTGTCTAGATAAATTTCTATTCGAATATTTATTCGTCGAGTAACATTTTATTCGTTGGTCCTTACCTTTCATCGGTCATCCGAATAAAATATTGCCCAACTCTGCGAGAAACAGTGACCTCGTACTAACAAACGTATGCTCGTGCTCGTATCAGCAAACAAAATTGACTTAAAAGCCTAGAAATCGTTCTAATTCAAAATCTTCATCCAATTCGGAACAGTTCGCACAGAATCAAAAAGTCAGAGAATCCGTTCTCATCGTGCTCGCGTTCTCGCCGATTCATTAAATACAAACGGTAACGCAAAACCTGTTCCATATTATAGTACGGTCACTACAGTAATGTCTCCCTAATTTACGCTCAGATTGTCCACAAAAATGGACAATTTTTGAAAAGTAGATACAATTGTTCGAGCCTTGTGGCTCGTTTTTTATGACTATCGATTGTCAACAACTATAAAAACGAGTTGCAAGGCTCGAATAATCGTATCTCCTCTTTGCAAATTGTCCATTTTCGTGGACAATCTGAGGCGCCAGTAAGGGCGACATTACTGTAGCGACCGTACTATAATAAGAAAAAGGTTTCGCGTTACCGTTCGTATTGTACAATCTGAGCATCGGTAAGGGCGACATTACTGTAGTTAGCGTTCGAGTTCAAAAGGGTGAGGACCTCACCCGTGTCTGTTCGTAGCGACGGAAAAGGGTCGGCCGTCGGGAACAACAGATCCAGGAGCGAGGGTGGCTGGCCCGAAATTAAAAATCGCGTGGCAAAGTCGGGAGAGGCTCATAAAATTTCATAAGCCGCGCGGCTCCGGGGATCGTTTAGCCGAGGCGGTCGGATCGGAGCCTCTGATCCCCGGAACAAAGTTCGATCTCGTTCGATCGGTTATGCAGCGGCCGTAACTGAAAGCCGATCGGCGCGGCGCCGGCCGAGTGTGCGCGGCCGGCCTCAAAGGGCGTGGAGAGGGAGACCGCCGTCAAAGTGGATAATTTTTGTTTCAGAAATTGCGAAGCCGTCCGAGGCGCCGAAGGCCACGGAGATCAAGAGCAGCGCCAACAAAGAAGGTGAGAGAGCCTCGTTGAATATCATTTCGCACTTTTCCAGCCCCGAAATCGATCTCTCGCGCAGGTCCTCTCCGACGCTTCCTTCTTCGGAACGGGCGCCTCGTTAGCTCGCCGGCCTCTCCGCGCGTTTTATTTGCGAAATCGGCTCGGACTCGCGCGAACGGTAAGAGAAAGATAGGAGAAGACGGAGCGGGAAGAAGAAGGCGCGCGCCCCGAAAGAAAAACGACGCGGAAATGAAAGAACGAGCAAAACGGAAAAGTTCGCGACCGTGAATCAGCCTTTTATCGCGCTCCTCGAACGATTATTAAACGCCACGCGGGATGAAATAATTCCGCGAAAAATCGAGGTGTTTGCTGTGCCAACGCAAACAATTCTCCTCGCCTCGCCTCGCCGCGCCGTATCGATTCGCCGCGCGCCGATTTTAATCGCCCGAAGATCTCTGTCCCGGACCGAACTGCGACGCTCCTCGGCGTTTCCGCTAAATCCCACCACAATTCGAGCTTAAACACCGACTAGCAGAATATCCCTCTGTTTTCCGCTTTAAAAGTCCTTTAAACGAATCCTCCCGCGGCTCCGAACCAAGGTAATCGCGGGACTGTTGATATTCCCGACTTCGCTGGCAAAAAATTCGGAAGATCAGGATCAAATGGACGGCCGAGTATCTCTCTCTCTCTCTCTCTCTCTCTCTCTCTTTCTCGCTCGGAGATTTAATTAATTAGGAGACTCGGCGGAGTCTGCGATATCCTTTGTGCGAGGAGATTCGAGGATCGGAAACATTTGAAATTTATTTAAGCGCGCTTCTGTACGTCGCAAATCCCGATACGATTCTTCTCGTTGTCTCGATCACCTAGGAAACTTTCGCGCGCGCAGTCCGTTTCTAATAAAAATAGAATCGGTTCTCGCTCGATAAACGCGCTTTCACGAAATTCTACGCGAATAGATTCGCGGTCTGTTACACATATGGAACCGCTTGTCCGACAACGGGACGTCCTATTCCACTTACTCAGTCATAAAAAAACATTCTTCCAACACGTTTTCATTCTACTCCACGCTGCCGTGGAACCATCGTATCGCAGCTGTCCGACCATGAGCCGACCAATTCTACTTAGAACATCTTTCGCAGCCAATCGAGTTCGCGTTTCTGCTCGATAAATCGTTACCGATCCGATCCGGGCGGTCGGATATTTTCGTAATATGGTCGACCATATCCAACATGTATTTCGACGCCTGGAACTCGAGATTTGCTCCGCATAAATCTGTTCCAGAGATCTGTTTTCCCTGTTGCGTAGTTCTGCTCCGTAGTTTCGCAAGTTGGCGAATTGCGGGCTCGAAAAAAAATCAGCGCTCGTCGCCGGGATCTCGATCTGTCTCGAAGGAGGAACACTTTAGGGGATCGTAGGCCCTCGAACGTAATCTTTGCATTACTCGGGGCCGAGCGGCTGTATGTGCGCGCACATTGGCCGGTGTATTATTAAAGCGGCACGAATAAGTTGGGCGGATGCCTAGGTCAGGTCCCTGTGGCTCTGGCCCCGGTGTTCTCGCTGCGAAACCAATCTCAATACGCTGCATTATTAACGCCGTACAAGGCTCGGCCACGACCGTATTACCGCCATTATGCTTCGAAATTTTACCTGGCGGCCTCACCTGCCTGGATTATTGTTACACCGTGTGCCAGGCTCTCGCTCTCTCTCTCTCTCGCTCCCGCTCTCTAGCTCTTTAGCTCTCGCTCTCTCGTTCTCGCTCTCTCGCTCTCTAGCTCTCGCTCTCGCGTACTAGCTCTCTCGGTCTCTAGCTCTCGCTCTCTCGCTCTCGCTCTCTCGCTCTCGCGCTCTAGCTCTCTCGCTCTCGCGTACTAGTTCTCTCGCTCTCTCGCTCTCTCGCTCTCGCGTTCTCTAGCTCTCTCGCTCTCTCGCGTTCTCTAACTCTCTCGCTCTCTCGCTCTCGCGCCCTCTAGCTCTCGCTCTCTCTCTCGCGCGCGCGCTCTAACTTTCTCGCGCTCTAGCTCTCTCGCTTCTCTAGCTCAAGCGCTCTAGCTCTCTCGCTTTCTCGCTCTCTAGCTCTCCCTCTCTCGCACTCTCGCTCTTTCGCTCTCGCTCTCCAACTCTCACTCTCTCTCTCTCTTGCTCTCCCGCTCTCGTTCTTGCTCTCGTTTTCTCTCTCTCACTCTTGCTCTCTCTCTCTCTCTCTCTCTCTCTTTCTTTCTGTCTTCGTCTCACTTGCCCTGCCGGTTACCTTTCATCGGGTAATTGCGACCGGTGGATTTTCACTTGGGACGCGATCCGGCAACTTTCGACTCGACCCGACCCTCCAGCAGCTCTCTCTACCTTCCAGTTCCCCGGCATCCGGGCAGGTTTGATTGTTCGATACGGAAATGCAATTTTAAAGTGTTCCCCGCGGCCGGATGCCAGTTTCCTCGGTAATTGTCTCCGCGAAACGGAGCTGTTCGTGATCCGCCGCCATCTTACAGCAATTATTCCGAGGATCGAGCAACAGATCTGTCTCGGATCTAGAGATCTCGTTCGACGAGCGATTAAAAACTTCCGAGCACTTCGAATCACCCTCAACTACCTAACAATTAGGACCTACGTAAGAATTTAACTGTCTTCCATTAGCGCCCACGCTAATTTAAAAATCAATCTCAAAAACTTGTATCAAATATATACATTTTGTGTAATCATATTAAAAAATTGAAAATTTTAAGCGGTATGACGCGAATTACTTTTTCAACATTCTTACGTTCTCCGTGAGATTCGTATGATAGTTTTCTCGATAAAATCGTGTTCTAATCTCTGTAAAAAAGAATTACTTTCGATCTCGAAAGAACAATGTAATTATTATTTAAATTATTTCTGGACATAGTTTATCGTTTGCGATTTATAAAAGCGTAGGAATCGTAAACAAGTCGATTTTTCTTTTACGATTGAAAACTGAATTCTTGGGTAGGTCTGTCGAATATATTTGGAAAGTTCGGTAAAGCAGTAATCTTCTCTTTTCGTAATTTTTCGAACGTGTTGCAACCCAGATCGATCCGCGTGGGCCGAAACACCGATTGGCCAAATAAACCCGGATAACGCGCATTGGAAAGACCGCGATCGCAGTGGCGTAAATCGGCATCCAAGAATCGGGAGCGCGTTAGTCGTCGGCGATCTCATAATTTCGGATAAGGACGAGGCGCTAATTAGCGAGCCTTTTGCTCGCACAAACACTTCGGGAATCGCAGAAGCGCGTAAGCAAACAGCTCTGCATGCACTACAATTAGGAATCAGCGGGAACGTAGCACACGTGCGACGGCCAATTATCATCGACCGATGTGTATCGAGCGCGTGTGCGTTACAGATAGAGGCTGGTACACATTCCTCGAACACGTAGCCGCGCTAATAGCGCAGAAACTTGCTCTTTCAAGAACGAGCCAATCGCGACACCGATCGCCCTTTCAGCCCACTTAATCGACACACGCTTTCGGACTTGACGCTGCTCTTTTTCAATCACTCTGCACTTCACGGTACGTCCAAGTAACACCGACGCAATGTTAGACAAAAATTCTCTCAATAATTATTTTGGAACGCAGTCCACAGTTGGATTTTATTCGATACCGTCGAATAAATATCCAATCGAATAGAAATTTATCCGAATAGGATTTTATTCGAACAAGAATTCAACCGAATAAGGAATTATTCGAACCAGAATGAATTCGAGTGAAGGGTTATTCGAATTAGAATTTATTCGAATGAAGAATTATTCGGACACGAATTCATTCGAATAAAGAATTATTCAAACAAGGATTCATTCGAGTAAAGAATTATTCCAACAAGAGAATTCATTCGAATAAATTATTATTCAAATAAAGAATTATTCGAACAAGAATTCATTCGACTAAATAATTATTCGAATATAAAGAATTATTCAAATAAGAATTCATTCGAGTGAAGAATTATTCGAAGAATTATTCCAACAAGAGAATTCATTCGAATAAATTATTATTCAAATAAAGAATTATTCGAACAAGAATTCATTCGACTAAATAATTATTCGAATATAAAGAATTATTCAAATAAGAATTCATTCGAGTGAAGAATTATTCGAGTAAAGAATTCATTCGAGTGAAGAATTATTCGAGTAAAGAATTATTCAAATAAAGAATTATTCGAACAAGAATTCATTCCAATAAAGAATAATTCGAACAAGAATTCATTCCAATAAAGAATAATTCGAACAAGAATTCATTCGAATAAAGAATTATTCAAACAAGGATTCATTCGAGTGAAGAATTATTCGAGTAAAGAATTATTCAAATAAAGAATTATTCGAACAAGAATTCATTCCAATAAAGAATAATTCGAACAAGAATTCATTCCAATAAAGAATAATTCGAACAAGAATTCATTCGAATAAAAAATAATTCGAACAAGAATTCATTCGACTAAATAATTATTCGACTAAAGAATCATTCGAAGAAATAGAATAATTATTATTCGACTAAACTATTCCAAAAATTATTCACTCGAATAACGACCTGAGATAAATATCTGTTCGAAACAATTCGAATAACGCCCGACTCTGGTTAAATCACTCTGCACTTCACAGTAGCATCTATCTAATGGTAATTCTGTTTTCGAAATGATTCGGCTTCTCTTCTGGCGTGGTATACTTTCACGGCAATCGGATTAGCGAAAAAAGGTGCAACACGGTCGCATAATGGCGAGTCCCCGGCCGAGGTTTCACGCGACTCCAGTCCTGCGGTAATACGCGCGATGATTGACTGCGTGGATGCCGGGAAAGTTTCGCGAAACTGGCCCGTGGCTCGTGTTCGTCGCCTCGCCGGCTCGAAATCAATCTTAATATTAGCGAATTATTAATGACCCGGCCAGGCCGCGTCATAACTCACCGACGGGACGTTAAGCGCCACCGAACAGTTTCCAATGGGTCCGTCCTCTCTCCCTTATCTGGCCAGATAAGATTCGAGGTGCTGGGCGATACCCCCAAAATTTGATGCGCCTCG